AATATATAGTTTAGAAATTATATATATACACACATACAAGCAAGAAACAATTGGAATTTTAAATTTAAAATGGATACCATTTACAATAACTTCAGAGATCATAATATATTTAGGAATAAACCAAAACTACCTAACCTAAAACTACAAAGTATTACTGAAGAAATTAAAGGAGACCTGAATAAGTGGTGAGATATATATGCAACTTTCATGAATTCATTAAGATGTTACTTCACCCCAAACTGTATATCTATCAATGCCTCAGCCATTTTTGTAGAAAGTAACAAACTAGTTAAAAACTTAAGGCCAGGTGTGATGGCTTACACCTATAATCCCAGAACCTTGGGAGGCCAGGGCAGGAGGATCACTTGAGGTCAAGAGTTCAAAACCAGCCTGGCCAACATAAAAAACATTAAAAAAAATTTTTTTTGTTTAAAGTTAGCCAGGCCTGGTGACACATGCTGTCTTCCCAGCTACTTAGGAGGCCGAGGTGAGAGGATCCTTTGAGCCCAGGAGGTCTAGGCTTCAGCAGGATACATTTACACCACTGCACTCCAGCCTGGGATACAGCGCAAGAGTTTGTCTCTTAAAATAAAATATTTTATATACATTGAAAATGCAGAGACCTAGAAGATGAAAACAATGTTGGGAAAGAATAAAGTTAGAAGACTACACTATCTTTGTTCAAGACTTAACTATAAAGCTGTAGTATTAAGACAGTGTTGTTGGCATAGAGATAGGCATGTTGACCAATGGGCACACTAGAGAGTACACATGCAGTTCATTGGTTTACGACAAAGGTACCAACGTAGTTTAACAGGAAAAGATGTTCTTTTCAACAAATGTTGCTGGAATAGAGGGAAAAGTGAACCTCAGCTCTTATTTCATACCATAAACAAAAATTAACTCAAAATGGATCATACACCTAAGTACAAACAGTAAAAATATAAGATGTCTGCAAGAAAATGGTATAATTGAACTGGGCACGGTGGCTCACGCCTGTAATCCCACCACTTTGGGAGGCCAAGGTGGGCGGATCACCTGAGGTCAGGAGTTCAAGAGAAGCCTGACCAACATGGTGAAACCCTGTCTCTACTAAAAATATAAAAGTCGGGCATGGTGGCATATGCCTATAATCCCAGCTACTCAAGAGGCTGAGGCAGGAGAGTCACTTGAACCCAGGAGGCAGAGGTTTCAGTGAGCCCAAGATTGCGCCATTGCACTTCAGCCTGGGGGACAAGAGCAAAACTCCATCTCAAAAAACCAAAAAAGTCACTCATAAAAGAACAGGGTCAAAATGGCTTGAAATATTCTATAACCATAATCAGCATCATTTATCATCATTGCCTCAATTAAATTTGTGGTCAGTATTGCTACTGGAGAGATACAGGAGCAGTTCTTTTTAAAATAATTTTCTTTGTTATAGTTTTCTACCTTTAGGAGTCCAGGTGTCTTTATGGGTCTTAATAGATTTCCATCATTAAATGATGTTTCATTTTTATAGAAGCAAGTATATATGCTCAAATGAATTTGCATGTTTTATACATTTATGTCCATTGTATATTTATATGTATTTTGAGTCATTGTGAAGGACCCATAAAACGTGGTAGGGATGTAATTACTGGATTTTGATGAACCTTTGGTCATATAACTGAATTGGTAATAAATGGAGTTTTTTTGGGTATTTGGTTTTATCATTTCTATTTGCCCCCACGATTGTTCAATTAAAACATTATGAAATGTTAAGTTAGAGGACTCCTAACCACTAATTGCATGTTTAAGCCTGATAATGCATGTTTAGTTTTTGTTTTTAATTTCTTTTTATCATTTTAGTAACAATGATGATGTTATGTTGATTTCTGTGGAAAGGCCTAATTTGACAACTCCAATTACATCAAATCCAACAGGTATCTTATAGCTGATTAGAATATGATCTATCAAGTTAGAAGGCCTTAAATCAATGTTTGCTTAAAAGTGAAAAATTGAATAATATCTTTTAATAAAATGAAAAATTTAAATGTACTCTCAAATGTTCTAACTTATATCATGGTTAATATTACCTAAATGAATGATTCCTTAATGTAATTGAGATTTCATTTTAACCTTCTGTTTTATCAGTTTATGGCCTTTTTGTTTCTTTTATATGTTTAATGACTTTATAAGTTGAAAAACTACTTATTATTAATCGTTTGCCCTGGCCTTTTGTTGATGGTAGTGATGGTTTGTTTTTTGTCTTTTTATTTTTTATTTATTAAGTTATCTTATAGTCAACTTAAGATTTAAAGTTTTTCTTGTCAGTCTGGGTGTGGTGGCTCATGCCTGTAATCCCAGCATTTTGGGAGGCCGAGGCAGACAGATCACCTGAGGTCAGGAGTTCAAGACCAGCCTGGCCAACAAAGTGAAACCCCATCTGTATTAAAAATACAAAAATTAGCCAGGCGTGGTGGCATGTACCTGTAATCCCAGCTACTCGGGAGGCTGAGGCAGGAGAATTGCTTGAACCTGGGAGGCATCATGCTACTGCTCTCCAGCCTGGGCAACAGAGCAAGACTCCGTCTCAAAAAAAAAAATTAACCTTACATTTCCAATGATAACATTTCTCAAAAAAAAAATTTTTCTCTCTGTCAAAAATAGCCATCTTGTTTGGCTCATAATTTCTTATCCAAAATTCCCCATTTTCATTTCATTTTCTAGTATGTTAGAGTATTTGCATCGTAATTTTAAAGCTTTGCCTCCACTTATAGCTACTTACTTGTCCCCACAGTTTGGGCTGTTAAGATTGTGAATCAGAGAATTACAAAGGATGTTAATCATTTATCTTAGGCTTCCTACTGGTTCCAGGAAGGGCGCTTCTCACCCATGTCAGGCAGTTGTAGTCTAAAGATACTGTGAATTAAAAGTGCGTGCATTTCCAACTGTATTTTCTCATGCAAATTTCTAGGTAGAAGGATTTTCAAAGAAAGAGTTACTAATATAGTTGCCAAGTTACAGAAAGAAAAATGGCTTGACCCAAAGTTACATTTTTAAAAAAAAATTCATTCAGTCTTTGGAATAGGTAAAGGCAATTGAGTTACTTTTTATCACTATATAATTAACAGCTAATTAGCATCCCCATTATTTTGTTTTAGCATTCATATTTCACAAAGCTCATAAATATTGTGTAATTAATTTGTCAAATGTCTCATTTCTTTCAGATACCAGAAAAACTACATCAGGAAATTCTAGCAGTTCTCCTAATGCTGAAGTTACAGTAAGTAAGAAATACTAACTCTGTATATTGTTCATTTAAACATGTTAGTTCTAGGAACTTTAATGTTTGCTACATGTTGGATGATTTAGTTTTAGTCCAGCTTACACATTGAAAAGCAGACAGCTAATGATAAGCATAATTCATAACGATACTCATTTACCAAATTCATTTACGTTCTCCTTAGTCTTATTTTCAGAAACCATATAGTATTTTACAAGAACTTTTTAATAGTAGAGTTAAACCACAGGAGACTTAGAGATGTTCCATCTCTAGTTTCTGAATGGTAATTTGAAATTACCATTTAAAATTACCAAATTTTTCTGAATGGTAATTTAAAATTACCATTTAAAATTACCAAATGTTGAAGTTTTTAAAAACATTTTCAGCTATTGAGGCAAAGCTTTATTATTTACAATTTTTTTAGGCTGTACAGAAGAAACTTGATTTTATAATTGATTTGACAAAAGAAGGCCTATCCAACTGCAATACAGGTAAAATGATTTTTTAGATCTTTCTTTTGTAAAAAGGAGGGAAGGGTAACAACTCACAATGCACTGGGTTTACTTATGAAGTTTGTTTTAATATGTTAGTGTGCAGATGTTTATATCTCTATGCAGTTTTAGCACATGTGCAGATTCATGTAACTGCCATCACAGTCAAAGTACAGAACCTGTAGCCACAAGGCTCCTTCATGCTACCCCTTTATACTCACACCTTGTTTCTGCCCCCATCCCTGGCAAACACCAATCTGTTCTGTACTATAACTGTTATTTCACAAATTTATATAAATTAGGTAATGCAATATGTGTTCTTCTGAGATTGACTTCTTCCACTCAGCATAATTCTGAGGGTCATCCACATTGTTGTGTATCAGTAGTGTGGTCCTCTTTATTGGCAAGAGTAGCCCGTGGTGTGGATGCATCATAATTTGTTTATTCATAAACCCACTGAAAGACATCTGGCATGTTGGGGACTTTTACAAATTTCTTTTCTCCTGTGGTACATACTTTTTTCCCTAACCACAACAATAGCTACTGAGAGGACGCACGGAGAGACAGAAACTGGGGTATAACATGAAAATGTAGAGGGAGAGTGACAACAGTGTCTTTCACAGATTTAAGGAAAAAGAAGTGAAATACAATCATGGGGCTGGGGATCACTTACAAGGTCTCATTCAAATTTAATGAGAAGTATAAACCCACATATCCAAGATGTTTAATAAACTCCAGGATAAACGCAAAAGAAGTCATACCAAGACATATCATAGTCAAGTTCCGGAAATCCAGTGATAAGGAGAAAAGTGAAGATACAATGTGGGTGAAAGAACAGAGAATTCACAGGTTTCTAGGCTAGAACAACACAAGCCAAAAGACAATTGAATGACTTCATTAAAAGGCTGGAGGAAAATAACTATCAACCTGTAATTGTTTATCTAGAAAATATCTTTCAAAAATGAAAGCAACTTTGGGAGGTCAGGTCAGGAGGATGGCTTGAGGTCAGGAGGATGGCTTGAGGCCAGGAGTTTGAGACCAGCCTAGGCAACATAACGAAACCCCATCTCTACAAAAATAAGAATAAATCAAAATTAAAATTTTTCAGATCAACAAAATGCGTTGCCAGCAGACCTTTGCTATCAGAAATAAAGGAAGTTCTTCAAGTGATAGTAAAAGATACCAGATAGAAAGCAGATCTACACAAACGAATAAAACTATTATAGAATGTATATAGAAGTCAGTAGATGAAAACAGTAGTACAAAAGATAGTCACAGGATTGAAAGTATGCTGTTATAAGGCTCTAAAGTGGAGTGGTGTCATGTTGTTTGAAGCTGGAGATATATATGGTAATGTCTAGAGCAACAGTTTTTTCTTTTACATAGAAGTAAAGCTAAAAAACCAGTAGTGGAGATAAACGAAATTTTTAAAATACCCAATCTAAGAAGCCAGAAAAAAATAAAAAATAAGAGAAAAAAACAGCAGAGAAAGAACAAACAAGACTAATAGAGAACAAAAGGCAAAAGAATCAATTTAAACCTGACCACACTGATAATAAATATAAGTGGTCCAAACACTCCATTGAAAAGCATTGTTAGACTGGAGAACAATACAAGTCTCAACTGTGATTACAAGAGATGTACTTTAAAAAGGAAATAAACATTAATGGGGTTGGAATGAAAGTCCTGTCTCGTCTCTTATTATCATAAAGTTGAGCTTATATTGCAGTCTGTTTTAATTTGCTAAGGGCCTATTGACTTACTGCCTTGAAAGAAGGAATATTATTTACAAGAAATTATATTTGCTAGGATATTTTAAATATTCAGCTGTTGGCTAAAAATTTAAAGGTTCCTAACCTACAGATTATAATTTTACAAATCTGTCTCTTAAAGCTAGTACAAAAGAGCTGAACAGACTCTCTAAAATAATAAACTCATTAATTCTTCTAGGAAGGTTTTTGTAAAAATACCAGTAAATAAGGGACTAACTCTGAAACAACAGTACAGAATCTTGTTCATCTTTGTCAAAAGAAAAATACAAGTAAATTTCATTTGGAGGATTCATAAAATGTATTAGTTATATCATAGGATATAAAGGATCTAAAATGGTTTTTACTGCTTAATTCTGGGATTTTTAGCTACCCAGCTTTCATACTTTCCAGTATAAACCCCCTTTTCTTAACCATCCCTGTATTTACTCTCCCCAGTTGTGTGTGTGTGTGTGTGTGTGTGTGTGTGTGTGTGTATTTTAACTTTATGTTCTGGTGTACATGTACAGGACGTGCAGATTTGTTACATAGGTAAATGTGTGCCATGGTAGTTTGCTGCACCTATCAACCCATCACCTATGTGTTAAGCCTGGCATGCATTAACTATTTTTCCTGATGTTCTCTCCACCCCCCACCCTCCCCCAACAGGCCCAGTGTGTGTTATTCCCCTCCCTATGTCCATGTGTTCTCATTGTTTAGCTTCCACTTACAAGTGAGAACATGTGGTATTTAGTTTTCTGTTCCTGGATTACTTTGCTGAGGATAATGGCTTCTAGCTCCATCCATGTCCATCCATGTCCCTGCAAAGAATAGGATCTCATTTCTTTTTATGGCTGCATAGTATTCCATGTGTATATGTACCACATTTTCTTTATCTCGGCTATCATGGATGGGCTTTTGGGTTGATTCCATGTCTTTGCTATTGTGAATAGTGCTGCAATTAACATATACATGCATGTATCTTTATAGTAGAATGATTAATATTCCTTTGGATATATACCCAGTAATGAGACTGCTAGGCCAAATGACAATTTTATGATGAAATCATCAAAAGCAATTGCAACAAAAGCAAATATTGACAAATGGGATCTAATTAAAGAGCCTCTGTACCGCAGAAGAAACTGTCATCAGCAGACAGACAACCTACAGAGTGGGAGAAAATTTTTGCAATCTGTCTATCTGACAAAGGTCTAATACCCAGAATCTACAAGGAACTTAAGGAAATTTACAAGAAAAGTAACCCCATTAAAAAGTGGGCAAAGGGCCGGGCGCGGTGGCTCAAGCCTGTAATCCCAGCACTTTGGGAGGCCGAGACGGGCGGATCACGAGGTCAGGAGATGGAGACCATCCTGGCTAACATGGTGAAACCCTGTCTTTACTAAAAAAATACAAAAAACTAGCCTGGCGAGGTGGCGGGTGCCTGTAGTCCCAGCTACTCGGGAGGCTGAGGCAGGAGAATGGCATAAACCTGGGAGGCGGAGCTTGCAGTGAGCTGAGATCCGGCCACTGCACTCCAGCCTGGGCGACAGAGTGAGACTCCATCTCAAAAAAAAAAAAAGAGTGGGCAAAGGACACGAACAGACATTTCTCAAAAGAAGACGTACATTTGGCCAACAAACATGAAAAAAAGCTCAACATCACTGATCGTCAGAGAAATGCAGATCAAAACCACAGTGAGATACCATCTCATGCCTGTCAGAATGGCGATTATTAAAGTCAAAAAACAACAGATGCTGGTGAGGATATGGAGAAATAGGAATGCGTTTACACTGTTGGTGGGAATGTAAATTAGTTCCACCATTGTGGAAGACAGTCTCAGTGATTTAGAACTGGAAATACTTTTTTTTTTTTTTTTGAGACAGTCTCGCTCTGTCCTCTGTCACCCAGGCTAGAATGCAGTGGCTTGATCTCAGCTCACTTCAACCTCTGCCTCCCAGGTTTAAGCAATTCTTCTGTGTCAGCCTCCCGAGTAGCTGGGACTACGGGCATGTACCACCATGCCCGGCTAATTTTGTATTTTCAGTAGAGATGAGATTTCACCATGTTGCCCAGGCTGATTTGGAACTTCTGACTTCAAGTCATCTATGTCCTAAAGTGCTGGGATGATAGGCATGAGCCTCTATACCCAGCCTCCCCAGTTGTTTTCAATCCATTCTTTTACCTACTTGTACCTTCTTTCCCTCCCACCCACCCACATTTTTCCTATTCGCCTCCTTTCGTCTTCTCACCATCTATTTTCCTTTCCGTTTCTCCTCCTCCCCCTCTTCTTTTCCCCACTCCACATTTTATATGTAATTCCTTCCAGATGAGCACAGACCTCATTAGTTGAGATTTTTTTTAATCCCAACCCACATGATTTTTAGTTTGAATTCCTAAAACTTGGGTATAGATTATAAATGGCTCTGTGTTTGAACATCTTTGTTGGCCTAACGAGAAAATTTGCCTCTAAGATCGTTGATCAGAGGTCTGTGTCTCATGTGTAAACATATCTGGTTCCCAGCTACACAGTGTCTAAAGTGTTTACCTTAAGCGGAATTTTTGTCACCCTAAAAATTTTCTATTTTTGGTACCTCTGTATCTTGAACTTTAACTAAAAGTGTATCTTCATAATTCAGTTTTATAATTTTAATTCACATTTAATTATCACCAAAGATGTAAACTATATCTTAAAGGCTATGGAATTGATTCTTGCAGATAAAATTTACTTCTTAAACCTTGTGTTGTTCACAGAAAGTCCAGTATCCCCCCTGGAGTCACATTCGAAAGCTGTTTCAAACTCAAAAGAAACAACCCCATTGGCACAAAATGCAGCCCAGGTACTGATTCAGAGTGCTCTGTAAGGGATATTTATTCCAAATTGAGTGGGAAGTACCTATCTTACTCTTGAAGAAACATTTGGGTCACATTTCAGCTTAGAAAACAATTTAATATGCTGTTGTTAATCTAATTTATACAGTTAAAATCATTCAATTGAGTTTTACAGACGCTACAGAAGTTAAAACAAATACTTTTTTTAAATTGAACAAATTGGCAAAGAAGCAATAGCCATTGTTGATGAGGATGGGAGGAAAAGGGTGTTCTCATACACTGACACTTTTTTTCTTTTTTTTGACACCACATCTTGCCCAGACTATTCCGAATCTTGCCCTGTCGCCCAGGCGATAGTGCAGTGGCGTGATCATGGCTCACTGCAACATCTACCTCCTGGGTTCAAGTGAGTCCCCTGCCTCAGCCTCCCAAGTAGCTGGGATTACAGGCGTGCACTACCACACCCAGCTAATTTTTGTATTTTTAGTAGAGACGGGGTTTCGCGATGTTGGCCAGGCTGGTCTCAAACTCCTGACCTCAGGTGAGGCAACGCACCCAGCCACGCTGACACTTTTCATGTAAATTAGTACAGTGTTTGAGAATACAATTTGGAAATGAGATGGAATATTTATCCCACATGTCTAGAACCTAACCCATTCTGGATTATTGACATTCCAGGGTGTAGAAATCTTAAATCCAAAAGAGGATTATGCTTAAAGGACTGGATCTAGCCTCACATATTATTGAAATACACTTTTATTATTTTGATAAATGGATTGAAGAATGGGAAGTATATATTTCTACAACTGCAATTGACCACTTTAAAAGCTATACTTTCTTACAATTGTGTTTTTAGGTTCCTGAGTCCTTTGAGCACCTGCCACCTCTCCCAGAACCACCAGCACCACTACCTGAATTAGTAGACAAAACCCGAGACACACTTCCTCCCCAGAAGCCTGAGCTCAAAGTGAAACGGGTTTTCAGACCAAATGGCATTGCCCTGACTTGGAATATAACCAAAATCAATCCCAAGTGCGCTCCTGTAGAAAGCTACCACCTCTTCCTGTGTCATGAGAACTCTAATAATAAATTGATTTGGAAGAAGATTGGAGAAATTAAAGCTTTACCACTCCCCATGGCCTGTACTTTATCTCAGTTTTTAGCTTCCAACAGATACTATTTTACTGTCCAGTCAAAAGATATTTTTGGACGATATGGACCATTCTGTGACATAAAATCTGTCCCTGGATTTTCTGAAAATCTTACGTAAAAGAGAGGTCTTTAATAATTACATATTATACTACTCTTTTTTTCATATTTGTTTGTTTGTTTACAATGTTACTGTAATACTATTTGCCGTTGTAAAACGCCAGCTCAGATTGTGAGCCCTTTCTATTGGGACAGTCCTCTTCTATATGTTGTAAGTGGCCAGTAACTTGATGAATTTCTGGTTTGTATTAAATATGTCCTTCCAATGGATAAGTTCTAAAACATATGCTATCTTGGTCGCGTGTTGCTGAGGTGTGTTGTGAACAGTACCTTTGGTGACTGTGAAACTGCTGCTTCTATCAGAAGACCTAGGATACAAGCAGCCACTGTTTCCTCCATTAACAATCAGCTTTTAGTGACCTGCTATGGTCAGCATAGCTACAGGAAAAGTCAGCCCTTGACTGAGGGCCAGATCATCCCTGGAGTGCACCTCTACCAAGATTTTATGAAAAGATGACATGTTGGACTGCATAATACAAATTAATATAAAAATTAAATTTTTTTTTTTTGAGATGGAATCTTGTTCCATTGCCCAGGGTGGAGTACAGTGGCACAATATCAGCTCACTGCAAGCTCCATCTCCCAGGTTCAAGCAATTCTCCGGTATCAGCCTCCTGAGTAGCTGGGACTACAGTAGCTTGCCACCACGCCCAGCTAATTTATTTTTAGTGGAGATGAGGTTTCACCTTGTTGGTCAGGCTGGTTTCAAACTCCTGACCTCAGGGGATCCACCCACCTCGGCCTCCCAAAGTGCTGGGATTACAGGCATGAGCCACCACACCTGGCCAAAAACTAAAAGACTTTATGAAAAGAAATGGCTTCCCATTCTATTCAGCTTCTAAGTGGGCTATTCATTTATGCCCCTCCTCTTTTTTGTTTTGTTTTGCACTCTGTCAATCATTTGGGGAAAAAGCCTGGAGGTCTTTCCTGAATCTGTTCGTAGACATAATAAAATGTGTGCTGTGTACACAAAAACATAATAGTATCTCTCATGAAAGCATTACCCAACCTGCTGTTTGAGTTGAGAACGGATTTGTCCACCTTAGATGTGAGGCTTTAGTTTGCTGATTTCCTAAATGCTACCCTTTGATCATTTCCTAGGGGCTCAGATGTGTCTTGTGCCCACCTCTTCCTGAGAGGAAGTGGAGCTGTGACTAGTACAAGCAGCCCAAGAAACTCTGAACAGGACCCAATGGAGGCAAACTTGAGAAAATAACTGGGATGATAAAAAATTTAAAAAATCCCAACTGTTTGAAAGTTCGAAAGAGGGGCATTCTTTCCTGGTACATGGTGAAAGTTCAGGCTCCAGAGGCTCAAAACAGGGAACGGTTTTCCTTGGCATTTTGTAAATGCTCTCACATCTGCAGTAATAAAGCTGTTATTTTCTGCAGTCTTCTATATCTTTATTTTTAAGAAAATTACCGATTCATGAGAGGAACTGCCCTGTGGGTTCCCATTTCCTGCTCAGAGCCACCCTGGGTGAAGATTTCACCCTGGGATTGTCATGGACTAGACATTCACTCACTGTGAAGCCCAAAGACGCAGCCCATAAACAAGATTTTGGTACCCATCACCAAGTGAACCTACATCTGCAACTACTGGGCCATCTGGAAAGATGAACGATGCTCAAGTCTCTAGCAAATGAGCCTTTATGATCAAAGGAGGAGAGAGAAAGGCTGACAGCAAACATCTTAGAGGTGGTACCTCAGAAAGCATTACTGTTTTGCCTTTTGGAGAGGCAGGGGCAAGATCAACTGTTTGTTCATTTGTTTTTGAGATAGGATCTCTGTTACCCAGGCCGGAGTGCAGTGGCACCACCATCAGCGTCCCTGCAGCCTCGACTTCTTGAGCTCAAGTGATCCTCCCACCTTAGCCTTTCAAGTAGCTGAGACTACAGGTGTGCACCACCATGCATGGCTAATTTGTTTGAATTTTAGTATTGCTGAGGTCTCACTATATTGCCCAGCTTGGTCTTGAGCTCAAGGGATCCTTCCGCCTCGGCCTCCTAAAGTGCTTGGATTATAGGCAAATCCTCAACTGTTAACACATCAGTGACACCAGGAAGGAGCTAGCCAGCCTAAGGACGAAAAAGTCCTGCCAATAACACAGACACACAGTACAGAGAACCCACACCCTGACCCCACCCTATGAAATGCTTCCTGTACTTCCAGTAGGAAACCTTTATACCTTCATTAGGTAACAGAATCAAACTGAGTAATGACTGAAAATTGAATACATTGAGAAAAGGCTATGGAGTGGCCCAAGGAATTACCAGGAATCCTAGAGACTCAAGGAAAAAAATACTTTGCAACAACCCAACCAAGTTTCAAACCTCATACAGTTTATGCAATTCACATTCTACATAACGACATGTTGGACATTTTATGCCCATTTTAAAGATGGAGAGACAGGCCTAGAGAGCTTAGGAGACTGGTGCAAGGTCACAGAGGCCCAGGGAATAACTACAGTCGGGATTCAAAACCAGCTACATGGTTCTGATTCATGCTGTGTACACCATGCTCTGCTGTCTGTGGGAACTACACTGAAGGAACAGTTAGAATTCACACTCTGCTGCCTTGTGGCTCCAGATTGAAATCCCAGCATCTGATTGGCTTATCCTAGGGCATACGTTCAAGTTGCAAGGTGAATTGGAGAAGCAAATCTCTCGTATTTCTAATCTTCAGTGAGAGGTGTACACAAGGTAAGTGTGGTGGTTCTGCACTGTGTCCTGTAGCTAAGCTAGAACTACCTACCCAGAATTTCTTTCCCTGGCTGGTTCAAGGTTAGCATTGATCACAAGACATTATGCTGAGATTTGAAGAGCAGAAGTGAAATGGCATCACATGTCTCAGGTTCTGAAGGGCAGTGCAGGACATCAGAATGAGGCAGCTGATGTGCGCTGTTGCTGATCTGCGAGTTGATGGACCTGCAGCTCCTGCAGCTGCCATCAAAGCCATCTCTAGCCTATCCAAGTACAGGACACATATGGGTGCTGCTGTGTATTTTTCCTACAGCCCATTATTCCCATGGCGTCAAGGTGGGATTGGTGACACAGGTTCCAGTTTGTACTTGGTCCCAACCACATCCATCCTTCCTCCCCAACAGCCTGCCTGGCTGACTGATGGTGACTCCAGGCTTCACAATAGACACAAAAGGAACAGTTTGTGTGGACTTCTCTACCAGCTCTCATGCATAGGAACAAATCTAACTCCATGAGAGATATGTCTTGTTGAATACCATGAGTTCTAAATTTCTCTTCAAACAATCAGTATGTCAGTATATTCAGTTCTTTGTTCTCCATTTTAAAGGTTAACTTCCTCATTCTCCTCACCCCTAGTTTCAGTAAACAACCTTTTCCCCCAGTTCTAATCAGTAGTTCAGCTCTGTTTTCCTGTTCTGTCCTGAGTCACCCTGGTCACCTGCTCTGACCTGAGTCATCCTGAGTCACCTGTTCTGTAACCGCCCTTCCCGCCAAACTACTCACCCCACCACTCCAGCTCGTATCCCTGCTGTCTTTAAAATAGCCACTCGGAATTAGCTTACACTGTGTCGTCCAACCCTAGCCAATAAGGGAATGACACAGCAGTAGGGGCTACCTGTGTCAGAATAAAAACCCCTTTCCCCTCCCTTGTTCAGGTGGGCTCTCACCATTGCTCCACCCACCAGTTGCACCCTTCACCACAACCTCGTCGAATGTTGGGTGGAAGGAAAACTCAAACTGGCTTCGGAAGGACTCTACCTAGTGCTTCTAACCACCGAGATCACAGTTCGAATAAGTGACTCATCACACCTGGGTCAAAAGAGCAACACCCCCTCTAAAATCATGGATAGCTATTCCAGGGCCAATTCCAACCAAGCTACAGCTAAAACGGGTTTGATCTTCTTATATTGCATCTCTTTCTTTTCCCTTTCTATTGCTAGTCCTCTCGTTATTAATGTAACTAGGTCAAGTTCACCCCAAACTATTACTTTTGATGCTTGCCTTGTGATACCCTGTGGAGATTTGCCAAACCAGAGGCAACTCACCACCTCAGAAAAGTATTTTTATCCTTCCTAGCTCTCCTCAGACTAGAAGTCTGTTAACTGGGATAAGTTAGTTTGGGTAGAGTTTGATGAAGATTCCAGTATAAACTGGGAATCTTGTCCTCCTAGAGCAGAAGTTCTCTGACGAAGTTGGTCCAATGCTCTACAAAATACTAAAGAGCAAGGATGGACCGCCCCAACCAGTACTTGCAGCTTCTTGAAACCATATATTTGTTTTACTAAAGGAGTTACCCCTCCCCATTGTCAGCTGAACCAGTGTAATCCAGTACAGGTTACCATCTCTTCTCCCCAGAGGTCTTCCCCTTCATTAAGCTGTTTCTATGCTATAGGAACAGAAATCTCAGAGAAGGATCCCATAAGATCCTTAGAAATTTGCTTCATTGCCTCCTCACCTCCTGCACCGCCTTCTCCCTCCCCTAAGTTCTCCACTAACCAAACGTTCTCTCGTTATATACGCAGTGATAGGACCAAAGTAGATGTTGAGGAAGTAAATGATTTAAAATAAACTTTAGCAATAGAGACAGGATATTGAGATGCAAATGCCTGGTTGGAATGGATCCAATATTCTGTTCGCACGCTAAACAAAGCAATTGTTACGCCTGTGCTCACAGCAGGCCAGGGGCCCAGATTGTCCCCTTACCACTAGGATGGTCCTCCAGTCGATCAGGCATGGGCTATACAGTAGCTCTTTTCCAGGATCCCACCGCCTGGGGTAACAAGTCATGCCAAGCTGTCTCTCTGCTATATCCCAAAGTTTGACACCCTGTGGGTCAGCCCACGAGGGCCATCCAACCTCCATCTCCTGACACTAAGTTCATTTCGTGTCTCTCATGACAAGGAGGGAACTTAGCATTCCTTGGAGACCTGAAAGGATGCACTGAGCTTAAGACTTTTCAGGAGCTTACCAGTCAGCCCTTGTTCATCCCCGAGCAGATGTGTGGCAGTATTGTGGTGGGCCTTTACTGGACACTCTGCCAAGTAACTGGAGCAGCACTTGTGCTCTAGTCCAACTGGCTATCCCTTTCACCTTGGCATTTCATCAACCAGAGAGAGGGAAAATACAACATCATAAAACAAGGGAAGCCCTTTAAGGGACTTTCAACCCTCATGTTTATTTAGATTCAACTAGAGTCCCATGAGGAACACTGGATAAATTTAAAGCCCAAGATCAAATATCTGCAGGATTTGAGTCAATATTTTGGTGGGTGACAATAAGAATGTAGATTGGATAAATTACACTTATTACAACCAACAGCGGTTTATTAACTACACTAGAGATGCTGTTAAAGGAATAGCTGAGCAATTAGGGGCTACTAGCCAGATGGCTTGGGAAAATAGAATAACCTTTGCCATGATATTAGCAGAAAGAGTAGGAGTTTGCATCATGATTAAAACTCAGTATTGTACCTTCATCCCAAACAATACCACCCCTGATGGAAGTATAACTAAGGCATTGCAAAGTCTAACCGTTCTGTCCAATGAATTAGCCAAAAACTCAGAAATAAATAACACTTTCTCAGGGTGGCTAGAAAGGTGGTTCAGTAAATGGAAAGAAATCATAGCCTCAATTCTTACTCCTCTTGCAGCTGTAATAGGTGTACTCATTCTTGTTGGGTGTTGTGTCGTACCATGCATCCATGGGCTAGTGCAGAGACTCATAGAGATAGCACTTACTAAAACCTCCCTTAACTCTCCTCCACCTTATTCAGAGAAGCTTCTTCTTTTAGAGAATCAAGCAGAACAACTAAGACAAGACATGTTAGGGAAGTTTGAAGAGAAAGAACTGTAAGATTCAAGAGGATGGAGTTGTTGAATATAGTGAATTCTAAATTTCTCTTCAAAGAATCATTATGTCAGTATGTTCAGTTCTTTGTTCTCCATTTTAAAGTTTAACTTCCTCATTCTCCTTGCCCCTAGTTTCAATAAACAACCTTTTCCACCAGTTCTAATCAGTAGTTCATATCTGTTCCCCTGGTCACCTGCTCTGTCCTGAGTCACCCCTGGTCACCTGCTCTGTCCTGAGTCATCCTGAGTCACCTGTTCTGTAACCGCCCTTCCTGCCAAACTATTCACCCCACCACTCCAGTTCATACCCCTGCTCTCTTTAAAACAGCCATTGAGAATTAGCTTAGACTGTGTGGTCCAACCCTAGCCAATAGGGGACACGGCAATAGGGGCTAACTACATCATGAATAAAAAACCCTTCCCCTCCCTTGTTCAGGTGTGCTCTTGCCATTCATTGCTCCATCGTGAGTCACACCCTTCTATAGAAGTAAAATTGCCTTGCTGAGAAAATTAAATGTATGTTCGAGTGCCATTTCTTTTGTGGCACCAAAAAATTATTTA